GCTCATCAATATTGTGAACATAAACTCTTTCAGATTTGAAATTTTTACGAGCTGGTTTATGAAGAGTGTAGACGTCTTGTTCGTTCAGAAATCGCTTTACTTCTTCAATTGGCTTTTTAGTTTTTCTTTGTAGTTCATTGATTCCACAAAATCCAGTTTCAGGGTTGTAATATGCATCGTCTAGTTTGATTTCCGATTTTTTAGTTTCTTTGGTAGAGGGTTTGATGGATTTTAAAGTACCTCCACTTTTTGAATTGGGAATTATTTTGCATTTTTTCGTTTTGCATACTACACATTTTCCTCTCAACAACTGCTTGTTGTTAATGCTCAAAATCTGAGATATGTCGGTAGTATCTGTACTGATCCGACATTTGAAACAATACATTTATAAACAAAAAATTTGCTGAAGAATATGTGAGATTGAAATTGGTGTTAAGAATAGAATTTCTCAGTGCGCTAGAGGGAATTCTCAGAGCGCTAAAGGAGCGCTAGAGGAGCGCTGATAGTAAAGCGACCATCGGAGGGTTGATGGAGGGCCCGAGGAATTTTCGGGAAAATAGGGGGTCATTTTAAAAGGTCGTTTTTGATTGATTAATTGGGTTATCCTTGGAGATTGATATCAAATTTTGACAAAAGTGGTAATAATTAGAGGCGGGCCCAAAAGTGCGCCAGAAAGGACAATTATATACTACTAATGTATAATCGTGTGTCGTAAAATACGATGCACGCGTGTGCATACACTCTGACGAGCAAAGGCACGAGAACGGTTGGCGCGCCGACCGATCGGTCAACTCGGTCGGCTCGGTCGGCGGTCGGTCGGTCGGCTGAATTCGCCGATTGAATGGAAGCCTTAATTCGGAATCGACCATGGCTTCCATACAGTAAGTGGTGAAAAAATTTTTCAAGAAAAGAAATACGGTTCTTTCAGGCTCTCGGCTCTTTACCGGATTATTCCAACATGTCAGCACAAACTACTTCCGGAGACGATTGCCCTTCAACGAGTGCATGGGTACGGTTCATTTTTTCAAACAAATGTCTCGTTTTCCCTAAACATTATTATTTCAGTATCCAATCTTCGAAGTTCCCGAGCCCTACTCCTTTGCACCAACAAGTCTTTGACAATCAAGCTTCAACCAGCTCACAGGTTTGATTCATTTTTCAAAGAATGCGCTGATAACATGCAGTACCGGCCGATGAGACGTGTTTTCCAAAATCAGAAATAAAGCTCAAAAATGAACAAAACTGCAATCATATGCTACTTACAAACCAAAGTCACCCAAAAGTTTAAAACTTGGGGTAATATGGTATGCTAGAACTCTTTTTAAACAATTATTTAAAAAAATCCATTCTCACTTCTTTTCGTTCAAATACGTCATGAAATCAAATCAATTTTATTCTTATCAGTGTTGAAATTTCCGTTACACAGTTCACTTTCTACTTTCTACGTTTAACATTGATATTATCAGTTTCGCTCTTTTTCCTATATATTTTTTCTCAATTTTCAGCTTTTCCAGAAAACATTTTTTTTCAGATGACTGAAAAAGAATTCACTCTGAAACATATATTCACTGATGTTGAGAAATTCCAGCAAAATCACTATCTCTGTAGTCCACGAGAAGACCATTTTGGTATCGGATGGTAGGTCTTATTGCTCATTTTTTAAATTATATTTGTATGTCAATTCAATTGCAGGAAAATAAATATTGAAAAAAGAAACGAACACCTCGGAATTTTCTTACACACAAATGTGACGGGAAATCAAGAAATTCACATTAATTTTATCCTGAGAATATTCTCGAAAAACCGGGAAAAAAATCATTCAAATTCTGGGAGTGATTTATTCAAAAATAATGGGTACGACTGGGATAATTGGGGTAAGGACAAATTCATTGAATGGAGAACTTTGGAAGATGAATATCTGGATGATGGAAAATTGGAAGTGGAAGTTCATGTGAAAATAAATAAAATGGTTGGCTTTCCGAGAGAAGAATTAAGAAGCTTTGGGGAGGACATGAAACAATTCTCCGATGTTACATTGAAAGTAAAAGAGCGGAAATTCTATATTTCGAAGTTGGTGAGTCATTTTTTCAGTTTTTGATTTTCATCTATTCAACTTTTTCAGTACCTCTCCTCTCATTCTCCATATTTTGCAACTTTATTTTTGGGAAGATTTCAAGAATCTGAAAAATCAGAAATCGAATTAAAAGATGTCAATCCTCAAGACTTCCAATACTATCTTGAAGTTCTACACTTAGAAAATGGAATTGATGGTGGGTTACTGTACTTACCGTATATTTTGAAAAGAGCAATTTCAGATGATACTGTCCAAGGAATTTTATCAGTGGCTTATTTGTTCGACACTCCTAAAATTGTCAAAAAATGTGAAGAATTTTTGGTCAAGGAATCAAAAAAGGGATTGAAAGAAAAGTTGGAAATGGCTGGAAGTTACAGGTTGGAAGAACTGAAAGTGAGTGTTCAGAAGATAATTTTAATCTGAAAAATTGATCTTTTCGTTCAAATACGTCATGAAATCAAATCAATTTTATTCTTATCAGTGTTGAAATTTCCCGTTTTCCTTGCTAACTCTTAAATTGTTTGTCTCTTCAATTTTCTTTTTTTTTTCAATTTCAAAAGACTTCATTTTCATTTTATCAATTCAAGAATTATCAGAAAACTGGGCACTAAAAACTTTTAGTTATTATTTTCTGAAATATCAATCTTTCTTTTTACATAAATCAAAATCGGAAAACTGAAACTTCAAAATGCATGATTTCTGATTTAAAAATTTACCTGTGATTCTCAAAAACTGTCTCAAAGTATCTAATTTTGAACTTTTTTTGAATAAGTTGTGCACAAAAATTGCTAATCACTGAATTTCTTATCACTCCCTTCCCCCACTTTTTGGTTACACAGTTCTCTTTCTACTTTCTACGTTTAACATTGATATTATCAGTTTCGCTCTTTTTCCTATATATTGTTTCTCAATTTTCAGCTTTTCCAGAAAACATTTTTTTCAGATGACTGAAAGAGAATTCACTCTGAAACATATATTCACTGATGTTGAGAAAATCGAGCAATATCAAAGTCTCTTTAGTCCAGAAAAAGAAAATTTTGGAGTCAAATGGTAGGTCTTATTGCTCATTTTTTAAATTATATTTGTATGTCAATTCAATTGCAGGAAAATAAGAATTCAAAAATGGAACGAACACCTCGTAATGTATTTATACACAAATGTGACAGGAAATCAAGAAATTCACACTAATTGTATCCTGAGAATATTCTCGAAAAACCGGGAAAAAAATCATTCAAAGTCTTCGAGCAATCCACGCAATCATTTTCATGGTGGGCTCCATGGTTGGCTCCATTGGGGTTGGGAGAAATTCATTGAATGGAGAACTTTGGAAGATGAATATCTGGATGGTGGAAAATTGGAAGTGGAAGTTCATGTGAAAATAAATAAAATGGTTGGCTTTCCGGAAGAAACGAATGAATTTCCCAGAAAAGATTTAAGAAGTTTCGGAGAGGATATGAAACAATTCTCCGATGTTACATTGAAAGTAAAAGAGCGGAAATTCTATATTTCGAAGTTGGTGAGTCATTTTTTCAGTTTTTGATTTTCATCTATTCAACTTTTTCAGTACCTCTCCTCTCATTCTCCATATTTTGCAACTTTATTTTTGGGAAGATTTCAAGAATCTGAAAAATCAGAAATCGAATTAAAAGATGTCAATCCTCAAGACTTCCAATACTATCTTGAAGTTCTACATCTAGAAAATGCAATTGACGGTGGGTTACTGTACTTACCGTATATTTTGAAAAGAGCAATTTCAGATGATACTGTCCAAGGAATTTTATCAGTGGCTGATATGTTCGACACTCCTAAAATTGTCAAAAAATGTGAAGAATTTTTGGTCAAGGAATCAAAAAAGGGATTGAAAAGAAAGCTGGAGTTGGCTGGAAATTATAGAATGGAGGGACTGAAAGTGAGTTTTAGACGAATAATTTAAAAGTGAGCAGTTTATTGACTTTTTTCAGAAACAATGCCTGGATGAAATCAAATCAAAAGCGGATATTCGTTCAGTTATTTCAGAGGATCCCAGTGAAATGGACCCAAAAATTCTTGCAGAGCTACTCAAAAAATCTTCAGATTCCAATTGAATTATTATTCTTTGTTCGCAATTCATTAATTCTTTTTAACAACAAAAATGTAATTTCTGTATTAATTCAAATTCTGATAATGCTGAAATGAATCTGATAATTTACAAAAATTTGTTTTGAATATTTAAAGAACAACAGAATGAATCGTTTTTTTTTCATCTATTTCATGTTATAACAACTAACACTTAGCAATAAGAAACTCGTCTTTTTCATCTCTTTCTATGACTAATACACAAAAATATACTCCGAATTTTAGAATTAGCAATGAAAAGCGTAGAATATTATTCCTCATCTCTATTTCGTTCATTAAAACCAGTTTCTTCTTGCTAAGTGTCCATTTTCATTTTAAAAAGATTACCGTAAAACCTCTAATAGAACGACACCCGGATCGTCCACTTTGAGCCTATATATCTCACTTCCTGTGAAAGATGGCAAAAAGTGGTTAACTAGTAAAATGTTTATCAGGATATCAGCAACATTTTACTATTTAGCCACTTTTTGATATCTTTCACAGAAAAGGAGATATATAGGCTCAAAGTGGNCGATCCGGGTGTCGTTCTATTAGAGGTTTTACGGTATGTATCTTTTATTTATACAAGTTTTTCTTTTTCCTTTAAATTTAAAAAAAAGATCTAGATCATCTAGTAAAACGTTGGCAGGTTGTGATGAACCATAATACTGAATATATTACTCACTGAAATATTTCATACGTTTAATAAATTTGTGTTGAAAAAATGTCGAAAAATGTAAAAGACTTTCGGAACAACCTGATATTTCATCAAATACCTTCAAAAGCCAGCTAGTCACGAATCAAAGTATTCATTTTTTCCTGTTTTTCACATAAATGGTGCAAATTTTCGTATTCTCTAGATGAGGTTGTATCTCTCCGAACATCCAATAATCTGATAGAGATCAGTCGGGACTATAAGAAGGTGAGGGAGAACGGTCCCACTGAAGCTGCTCAGGTCTGACTTGACTGCAGGTAAAAAATGAAAAATCCTCATGTTCACGGAAAGTCATGCCGTACCTGAGCCGCTTTGGCTGGACGGTTCTCCTTTACCCCCGTGAAAGACTTGATTCAGCTCTATCAGATCATCAGTTATTCAAAAGTATACGACGTCATCTGGAGCTTAAGGACTTTAACACACTTGATGCCTGAAAAAATGGACTGGAGGGATACTTTGACTTCGACTAGCTGGCTTTTGGAGGGATGGTACCCACAAGTTACCTGAACATTGCCAACATGTTGTGGATCACGACGGTGCATATTGCTAATTCTGGATTATTCTTGTGTTTGTGTTATTTACTAATAAAGAAATGGACAAGTACTTTCCTGCCAATATGTAACAAACAGTACGAATTGCAGTAAAAAGTTCTGGAATTTTCTAGAATTTTCTAGAATGTTCTGGAATTTTCTAGAATGTTCTGGAATTTTCGAGAATTTTCTGGAATTTTCGAGAATGTTCTGGAATTTTCGAGAATTTTCTGGAATTTTCTAGAATTTTCTAGAATTTTCTAGAATGTTCTGGAATTTTCGAGAATTTTCTGGAATTTTCTAGAATTTTCTGGAATGTTCTGGAATTTTCTAGAATGTTCTGGAATTTTCGAGAATTTTCTGGAATTTTCTAGAATGTTCTGGAATTTTCGAGAATTTTCTGGAATTTTCGAGAATTTTCTAGAATTTTCTAGAATGTTCTGGAATTTTCGAGAATTTTCTGGAATTTTCTAGAATTTTCTGGAATGTTCTGGAATTTTCTAGAATGTTCTGGAATTTTCGAGAATTTTCTGGAATTTTCGAGAATGTTCTGGAATTTTCTAGAATGTTCTGGAATTTTCGAGAATTTTCTGGAATTTTCTAGAATGTTCTGAAATTTTCTAGAATGTTTTGGAATTTTCGAGTATTTTCTGGAATTTTCGAGAATGTTCTGGAATTTTCGAGAATTTTCTAGAATGTTTTGGAATTTTCTGGAATGTTCTAGAATTTTGCGCATAACAAGAACCTTGTATTCTGTAGAAAATTACTATGACCCATTTTCAGTAGTCCACAGGATCGAAATTCAAGTGATATACAAAAGAAACGAAATTTTCAAAATTTTTCAGTTCTGAAGATTTGTGATCAATTTTATGTAGGCAACACATAGATAGACCAAAAAACGGTTTTGCATAATTTCGTGAAGTTTTATTGAGTTTGAGCATAGTTTTGAAATTTTCGATTCTCAACACTGTAGCTTCCCTATAAGCTAGAAGGCCCAGGACACCATAGACATGAAGCGCTCGGCAGTCCATGACTACATACCACACACCACTATAGGAGTCCCACGCGCCTTTGAGTTATTCAAGTTAATGTCCGAGACGGATACACACACAGAAAAGCTTCCTTAGTAAGAAGTAGATTTTGATATATGAATTTTTGGGAATTTTTTGTTTAATTTTTTGAAGAATTTCAAACTTAAAAAGTTCATTTCCCTTTCTCTAACCTCTCTCTTCTCCTCCCACACTATTTCTCCGTCCCTAAAAATTGAGTAGAAGAACTCTGGCACCAACTGACACCGGCTCCGCAAAAAGAAGGGGCGTCGCTCCTCGAGGACATTTCTCTGTGCTCTCTAGCACTCTCTTCTCTCCGCCTCCCTCTCTCTCCCGTTGCTCATTTTTCCCCAGAAGAGAGCTCTCATACCTATACTCTTCCATGGCTCTGTGTTTAAGAGCCTAAATTTATATGAATGATTTTTCTGAATTTTATTCTGATTTTTCTATTCTCTGTATTTTCTACCATGGCTCTCTGTGTTTAAGAATAAAGGTGAGTAATTCAAAATTTTTTAATTTCGCGGGTTCAAAAAAATTTGAATCTTTTGAATGGAATAGTTTCAACTTTTAAGGAAAGTATAGCCATTTCCAAAAGAATATTCTAGATTTCTGTTTTTTTTCAGATTTTCAATTTTGGTCTTTTGGAATCCTATGTGAACTTCTACAATGCAACTCTCACTTGTCCGGATTTTTTTGTAAGCATTGCACCAAAAAACATATTTATTTTCCCTAATTTTTCAGCTCTATTTAAAAGACTGCGATTTCTAAAAAAAGTCCCAACGCCAAAGTCAAAGTTCCAACAATGTACCATTTGTAGAAGGTGAGTTGTTTTGTGGTGAACTTTGGATCAAATTATCTCGGTTCCTACAAAAGATATTAAGAAAGTGTGAACTGATAAAATGTGACTGATATTATGATAACCATTTTATTAGCTGACAAACTTTTGATATATATTACAGAAAATGAAATAACTTTATTTAAGAATCTGGAACCAGCTAAACCATATATGTTTTTTCAGAAATGTCTTGGTTATTTCGGTCCACGCCATGCTAACCATGTGCCTCCAGGTATAAACACTTGCCAACAATAAGTATGCCTACAATATCAACTTTAGTTTCAATTATCGATTTTCTTTCAGGCATGTCAATTCCACATTGTGGGACATCCAACGTAGAGTGTGATCCGCTGCCTATGCAACGATGTTTGTGCAAACGAGACGGATGCCTTATACGGTCGATATAAATACCATTATTATTTATTTTTTATTTTTTATAAACGATTCCTTTTTTAAAATTTTTGAAACCAGAATAAAATTGATTTTTGTTAACCAGTGTGTTGTTCTGAATATTTGAAAAAATCATAGTTTTAGTCAGTTTTGAAGGAAGTCATATTTTTTCGGTATGAAATTTTTGAACAGCTAGAAAAGCTGAAGAATTTCAGATCTTAAATTTTGATTTTATCAAAAGAGGGGAATTTTCGACAAAGGGAAAAATTTCGAATATAGAAAATTTCCTGAGCTTCCGAATTTTAGGGTATTTTCAATTTGCTGAACTTTTTTGAGTTTTAGGATTCCGAATTTCAGAATTTCTGGTTTTTTGACTTTCTGGTTTTTTGACTTTCTGGAATTTCTGAATTTCTGAATTACGGAATTTCTGAATTTCGGATATTCTGAATTTCTGAATTTCTGAATTTCTGAATTTCTGAATTTCTGAATTTCTGAATTTCTGAGTTTTTGAATTTCTGAATTTCTGAATTTTTGAATTTCTGAATTTCTGAATTTTTGAATTTCTGAATTTCTGAGTTTTTGAGTTTCTGAATTTCTGAATTTCTGAATTTCTGAATTCTTGAATTTCTAAATTTCTGAATTTCTGAATTTCTGAATTTTTGAATTTTTGAATTTCTGAATTTCTGAATTTCCGAATTTCTGAATTTCTGAATTTCTGAATTTCTGAATTTCTGAATTTCTGAATTTCTGAATTTCTGAATTTCTGAATTTCTGAATTTCTGAATTTCTGAATTTCTGAATTTCTGAATTTCTGAATTTCTGAATTTCTGAATTTCTGAATTCCTGAATTTCTGAATTTCTGAATTTCTGAATTTCTGAATTTCTGAATTCCTGAATTTCTGAATTTCTGAATTTCTGAATTTCTGATTTCTTAACTTTCTAGAATTTTGAAATTCAGAATTTCTGATTTTTTTTTGAAAATTTCTGGAATTCAACTACGTGATTTTTCTCGAGTTTTTTTTCTAAAAGCTTCAGAATACATTGCACATCAATTCCAAACAATGGTCTATTTTTCAAAAATACCATGTGAAACTTTTTGAATCATCATTTTTCTCCCATATTTCTCCTTTTTAAATAGAAAATCATAAGACATTTGAAAAGGGTCTTCTGGTATAAAAAATGATGGAAATTTTGAAATTTTTAGCTATTTGTTGAAAAAATTTGAGTTTCTAGGAAAAAATGGTCCCGGACTATCAAGCTAGTGCCAACCGGGAGCTCCCAAAGATGCCAGGAAAATATTCTTATTTGATTTTAATTTTTGTTATAATCTTGGTGATTTGTATTCTGACATAGTGAGTTTTTGAAGTTCTGGAATATTCAAATTCGGATATCCAGAAAATTTGAAATTTTGAGATTTTCAGTATGGCTGTTCAACATGGAATCAAGATTGATAATCAGGTTCATGTTCAGTAAGTTAGAGAAAATTTCCAGAAGCTTCTAGAATCGGTCAACTTTGAAGCCTTGAAAAAGTGGTTGAATTTGTACAAAAAAAATTGTCAATTACAAAAATGAAGCTCTTTTTTCTGTTCAGTATACTCTGAAATTTTCAGACAAGTCTAGAAATTTTGTACTACTTTTGTAGGACTTCAAAATTGACAAATTTCCATTTGGTTACTGTAGCTTGTTTGAAATTTTCAGACCTACTGCTACTTCTTGTCCAGTTAATAAATGTTCAAAATCCTCCAAGAATTTCGAAGATGCCGCTGTTCAAACTGATTATTCTAACATTGACTATGAGTTTAGGTGAAATTGAAGAAGAAAAAAAGGAATTTTCAGAAAAATCGAGAAGCGTGAGGAGGAGGCAATCATTCATCTGTCTGTGTGATTCTTGCTAGTTATCATTTTGATAATAATTATCATTTTCTGTATTTTTTAAAACTTCCATTTTGTTTATACTAATGTGAACCTTACAAACAGCCTGAAATGAATATGTTGAGAATCAGATTTTTTTCAAAATTGAGATTCCGAGATTCTGAGATTCTGAGATTCTGAGATTCTGAGATTCTGAGATTCTGAGATTTTGCGATTCTGAGATTCTGCAATTCTGAGATTCTGCGATTCTGAGATTCTGAGATTCTGCGATAATATTTGAAAAACAGATAATATTTGAAAAACAGATAAATTTTAACTCATTTTAATGAAATAAAAATTTTTGGTCGGAGTCCCCCTTTAATGAATCATCATCATTTTTTCATTCATTGCTCCAAGTTTCCTCTGTCATCCAAAATTCTTTTATTGGGTATAAAAAACCCCAGGAAGTTAGAAAAATTATGTATTTTCTTCTCGAAATTCACTGAATTCTTGACTAAAATGGTCTTTGGCAGCTGTGATTCTGATGGCAAGTATCTAGTATGCACTATAATTTTGTTTACGCTTGCAATGGTGGGGTATTATTTTCTACATGTGTGAGTTTTCAAAAATTTTCCGATTACTGTACTTCAAAATTTTCAGCTGGGCGGACGATCTGTAAAAAAAAGAGAAACAAGCTAGAAAGGAGGAGGAGTTGTGAGTGGGAAAACAGATACCGTAAAACCTCTAATAGAACGACACCCGGATCGTCCACTTTGAGTCTATATATCTCACTTCTTTTGAAAGATATCGAAAAGTGGTTAACTAGTAAAATGTTTATCAGGATATCAGCAATATTTTATTAGTTAGCCACTTTTTGATATCTTTCACANAAAATGAGATATATAGGCTCAAAGTAGACGATCCGGGTGTCGTTCTATTAGAGGTTTTACGGTAAACGTTATTTTTCCAGAACTCCTCTAGAATTTTCCAAAACACAATAGTTCAGTTTCGCCAAGTTTCCAAAATGCCCACCTTGTATTTGCCATTATGGTCAGGCTCCTGAAAAATCAATAACCGCGGAATTCCCAACTAAGATTTCTGAAAGACCTGGAACTAGAAACAGGTGAAATTCCAATTTCAAATTTTTTGAAGTTTTTAATTTTTCAGAAAAGTGGACGCTATTGAAAAAGCGGAACCAGTTCTTGTTGGACAGACGATTCTTGTTTGATTGAAATTTTTCCTCGAACAACTTCAATTATAGTCTTTAATTAAGATTGACATTCATGTTTCAAAGGACTTTTGTACATAAAATCATGAAAATGTAAATAGATGTGAATGAATGAATAAAAATGCAAAGTTTGTGAGATTATGCTAAACAATTTATCAGTTGTAGACTTTTTTAAATCACTTCCAGGAACAGAGATAAATTAGCTCAAAGTTGAAAGTTGGGGGCTCTTCTAATACAGGTTTGACGGTAACTTGAAAATTGAAAAACTCAAAAGATTCTGAGATTCTGAGATTCTGAGATTCTGAGATTCTGAGATACTGAGATTCTGAGATTCTGAGTTTCTGAGATTCGGAGATTCTGAGATTCTGAGATTCTGCGATTCTGATGAGATTCTGAGATTCTGAGATTCTGAGATTCTGCGATTCTGAAATTCTGAGATTTTGAGATTCTGAGATTCTGAGATACTGAGATTCTGAGATTCTGAGATTCTGAGATTCGGAGATTCTGAGATTCTGAGATTCTGAGATTCTGAGATTCTGAGATTCTGAGATTCTGAGATTTTGAGATTCTGAGATTCTGAGATTCTGAGATTCTGAGATACTGAGATTCTGAGATTCTGCGATTCTCAGATTTTGAGATTCTGAGATTCTGAGATTCTGAGATTCTGAAATTCTGAGATTTTGAGATACTGAGATTCTGAGATTCTGAGATTTTGAGATTCTGAGATTCTGAGATACTGAAATTCTGAGATTCTGAGATTCTGAGATACTGAGATTCTGAGATTCTGAAATTCTGAGATTCGGAGATTCTGAGATACTGAGATTCTGAGATTCTGAGATTCTGCGATTCGGAGATTCTGAGATTCTGAGATTCTGAAATTCTGAGATTCTGCGATTCTGAGATTCTGAGATTCTGAGATTCTGAGATTTTGAGATTCTGAGATTCTGAGATTCTGAGATTTTGAGATTCTGAGATTCTGAGATTCGGAGATTCTGAGATTCTGAGATTTTGAGATTCTGAGATTCTGAGATTCTGAGATTCTGAGATTCTGAGATTCTGAGATTCTGAGATTCTGAAATTCTGAGATACTGAGATCACTGAGATTCTGAGATTCTGAGTTTCTGAGATTCGGAGATTCTGAGATTCTGAGATTCTGAGATTTTGAGATTCTGAGATTCTGAGATTCGGAGATTCTGAGATTCTGAGATTTCGAGATTCTGAGATTCTGAGATTCCGAGATTGTGAGATTGTGAGATTCTGAGATTCTGAGATTCTGAAATTCTGAGATACTGAGATACTGAGATTCTGAGATTCTGAGTTTCTGAGATTCGGAGATTCTGAGATTCTGAGATTTTGAGATTCTGAGATTAGGAGATTCTGAAATACTAAATTTCAACAAGAGAATTTTGGGAATCAAAAATCAAACCATCATTATTTCTAAACTGCCCATAGATATCAATTTTTGTCTTTTTTTTTACAAAGAAAAAAGTCTTGAATCATCACCATTTTCATTGTTCCATGTTTCCGTTTTCATCAAAAATGCTTCTAATGGGTATAAAAGAATCTCGAAAATTGAAAAAATCATTATTTTGGCTTCTAGAAGCGCTTCGAATCGTCCAATTTCTTCTGTGAACTCAAAAAAATCTGACAATTTTTGATTTCAAATTTTCAGATTCCTTGCCGAAAATGTTCATTGACTATGGAATTAACTCTGAAGAAAACAGGAACCTCTGAAACAGCCAAAAAATATATCCTGTGTGATCTGGACGACGCTTGCAGTTTTGGCATTTTGTTTTTTCTTTGTGTGAGTTTTCAAAAAACTTGGCTACTGTAGTCTCTGAATTTCGAACTACTGTCGAATTTTGTTTATGGGTTACTGTAGAACCTCAATTTTGGAATTTCAGCATGCTCGTCGATCAGGAGCTCAAGAAAAACGCTAAGATAATTGAAGAATTGTGAGTTTTCTAGTTTTTTTTCCAGAATTTTCTAGAATTTTTAAAAGTTTCAGAACTGCCAAGACAACTACTATCTCATCATGCCCAAGTTGTATTTGCAATTGTAAGCAGGTTCCAGAAAATATAATCAGATATGGTGTAGTTCCATCTGAAAATCCGAAAGAACCTGAAACAGAAATTAGGTAAAATAATCTTTCGAAAATTCTAAAAAAATAGTTTCAAAAATTTCAGAAAAATCGAAGCTAATGAGAAAGCAAACCCAATTTTTGTTTCACCGATGATTCATGTTTGATTGAATTTTTTTTTCGAATTTTAATAATAAATTTTTTTTAATTCAAATGTATTTAAAACTTTGGAAAATTTTTTAAAATTAAAAGATACCGTTAACACTCTAATAGAACGCCACCCCTAATCGTCAAATTTGAGCCCATACAGTACCGGTCAAAAGGTTGTAAACGCAGGGTTTTTCGAGCATAACTCAACGCATAACCCAACCAAATTCCGTGATTTTTTTTTCTGGTAACTACAGGGGCAAGTCAAAAGGTATGACTACGGTCAGCGAGTTGTACGCAAACACGCTGACGCGATTCTGCAGATTTTTCAGTTTTTCGAAAAAATCGGGTTTTTCGCCCTTTTTCGCCCTTTTCTTTATTTTCGAATCGCATACCGGTAATAGATAGAGATTCCAGTGTCGGATGCGCTTCTACTAGTTTTCGAATAGCTTCGTCTTCGACGGAAGAATAAGAAAGATCCAGATGCCTCAAATTTGGGAAAGGACGTCGCGAGCGTAAGTACGTTTCGATAGTTCCGACTGAATCGCCAAAAACGCTCGTTTTAGCGAAACTAAGATTTTCAAGATTCTCAATGTCGAAAATATCCAAAAGGCAACGAGACTTCTCAAATTGCAAGCCTCCAACTCTCAAGATTCTGAGCTTTGTCAACTGGGAAATATCAGTGAGGCTCTCCTCGATGGCAGTATAGGAAAAAATCAAGACTTTCGAGATTCGGGAAAAACGAACAGATGTCCTGGAAGTCCTTGGATGTCGTGATCCGATGGCGGAGAGACAGGTTCTTCACGGAAGGAAGCATACGCCCGATCTGAGATTTGTAGACCTACCGTAAAAACTCTATTAGTAGTCACCCCTAATTGAATGCCAGCCTCTAATATAGTGCCACACCCTAACTGAACGCCAGTCCCTATTATAATGTCACTTTGGTTTATCGTTTTTTTTTTCATCTTGAAAGAGGTACTGTACATGTCGAAAATTCTGAGGATTATACAGACTCTGCAAGGCATTCAGACTTTGAAAAGACGAAGATAAACCAAGAATCCCTCGAAAATCGTTTTATGAAAGAGTCGAAAATATAGTTCTTTTGTGATGAGTTTCAGTAGGAATTGAATGCCACCCCCTAATACAATGTCACCCCAGGCCACCTAATAAAGTGACATGGCTATATAATAGAGTTTTTAAGGTATTTTAACTTGTTAATCTGTTTGCAAATACTCCTATCGCTCTCATAAGTTTTCAAAAATGATATTTTGCACATGTCGGCTCAGGCGAGCTACATAAATCCAAAATGCCAAACCCATTTCACTCACCTCTCTTGCCCATCCATCAGCAAAATGCTCCGTATGCCCCTGATTGCGAAATACTGTTGCTTCTGGGCTCAGATCCAGATGAGTGAGACTATCTCGTGATTCTTGTTTCAGAATGCTTCGAAGAACAGATGGAAGATCGTAGACTGCACCGATTCCTGGAACACTTTCAGATTAATGGTGTGCATTATAATTGGAAAATTACCCTTTTCATTTTCGTCTACACTCCAATCATGCCTTAGAGATCTTCTAGTGGCGGCTACCGGTGGATATTTCTTAGAGAGGGAATGATACTTCCGATCTTTTTTGAAATTTCTGAGTTGTTCGAAGCAACACAAACTTAAGTCAAGTTAAATGATCGAATCACTTCAAAGATCTTCTCAGTCATATTGATCCCAGTCAAATTGATTGATGTTGGCTTGAAAATCTTGCTGATGACTTCAAGAGTATTCTCATCCAACGTTTCGAGTGATGGAAGCAGCTGTTGGAAAATCGTGTTGCTAGTGACAGGATCTAGGCAAGCAGTTGGTGGCAGAGAGCCTGGAAGTTCAATTTGTTGAGAAAAAACAAAAAAAAAGGAAATTTACCATTGACTGCATACTCGATGATTTTCTTTTTCGTCAAATTGGCAAGCGTTGGGAAGGACATTTTGGGACTAGAAAATTACCTGAAATAGAAACATTGATTGAGTAGAGTTGCAAAATCAATAGAATGTACAGAGTTCGATGCCTAGCTACTCGGTTATCTACAACCGCGTTGCCCAAAAATGACCCCAAATTTCAAATCGAGTAGTCTCTGTCACTATTGTGTGATGCCCTCCATCATAACAACAAATGTCAGAGTGTGGAAAAAGAAGAGACGCAGAGAAAATCTCACATCAGATATGTATCGTCTGCGTCTCTAAGAAATGATATCTCACTACAACTGTGCATGTCTGTCGTTGGCATCTGGGGAAGGTCATGTGCAAGGTAACACACAGTTGACAGACAATACCCGATTGGAAATTAGCAATAGGCTAAATTGTATGCGGATGGGTCGGGCGTTCAAACTTGGCATGTTGCCAAGTTTTCAATCGGGTATCGTCCGTCGACTGCGTGTTACTTTACCTTGCCCAGTTTCTAACGACAGAAATGCACAGTTGAAGTCAGAAAAATTTCTCAGAGTCGCAGAAAATCCAGAAACAAAAACATTTTGGGATTTTCTCTGCGTCTCTTCCTATTCTTCCACACTCTAACAACTGCCCGTCTATCGTTGGTACAGGAAAAGGTTGCGTACGCTGTTGGTTGAAGTGATAGAGAACATCACACAATAGCGACATAAAGTCTTCGACTTGAAATTTGGCGCCAGCACGGTTGCGTCCAAATTCTCGCGAACTTTGTATATTTGTCTCATTTTGATGTTACATCTCTTCGCGATTTGAATTCCCTATATTTCTATTTCAGGTAATTTTCTTCTCCCAAAATGTCCTTCCCAGCGCTTGCCAATTTGACGAATAGGAAAATCATCGAGTTTGCAGTGAATGATAAATTTTTCTTATTTTTATTGTTTCATTCTCACGGTCTCCCAGCGTTCATCTCTCGCAATTTTCCCAGATTTAATTGAAAAACTGGATGAATAGCTAAGAACGTGTCAAAAACGTTCAAAAATGAATAATTTTTAAAGGTGGGGGGACACGAGATTTTTCGTAGTTTTTTTGTAGCTAGAGTATGCATTCTACCGTGACGGTGTACAACGCTTAATGTCACTCTGCGACGCNTGGNCGGTCCTTCGCTTTATGTATGCAATCGGGCGTGCCCTTTCTCTTTGCCCGCGTGGCTCAGTCGGTAGCGGCGCCGCACCCTCAATCATCGCCCTCACAAGTTCAACTCCTCGAGGGGCATCTTTGAACGAAATTTCGAGAACATTATTTTTTTCATGTCCCCCCACCTTTAAAAAAATTTATGGGGGGGG